CCCCAAAACCCCAAAACCCCAAAACCCCAAAACCCCAAAACCCCTTTAATATTTATTTATATTGTTCGCTTTTATTTGTTAAAAATAAAACTATGGCTCACGGAGGAAGGAGTAAGGATCTGGGTTTCACAATATAAACTCACTAAAGCACTTCTTTTTCTAAAGTCCTTTCAAATGTTCTTGAAGTCTGATATAACTGTCTATAGGGCCATCTCTCCAGAAGAAAGAGAAGTATCAGGACAAGCAAAGAGATCGATTCTGTAGGCAGACAACTTATGGAGCAGAGTTTAAAGAAAGTTCTCCTCAACAAGCTCAGTATCATAAAGAAATTGATAATCAGATTGTGTCAAAATACTCAAACAGAATTGTGAAGACTTCTCATGCTCATTCAGTTGATAGGAACAAGCATAGAAGAGATCAGAAAAAGTATAAGCATCATCATTCAACTGAGTAAATTATCTGAATAATTTCATAGAAAACAAGTCAGGCATCGCTATGACTATGATAATGCCCTTGTCTCTACTGGTAAGGCATTTTATCAGCCAGATAAGTCCACTGGCAATCGGATGGAGTATTATTACCATCATATGGGGAGGCCAGGCAGAAGACAGGTAGTAGATCGGGTAGTGAAGTATAAATACCCTTCTCATGTTGGAACAAGTTATAACAAAGATTATGCAAAGTATAATTCGATCAAAGCCCCAGAAGGAAGACTATGAGGCGAACCTTTCAATGTGGAGAAAGAACATAAAATTATCAACCCTCATAATGTTGAGAAGCTGACAATTAATAGGATTGATTATCAGCCTTTTAAAGTTCAACCAAGAGCGCCTAAGAAGCGGAAGGCTCCTCCACAGTCTGAATATATCGGAGCTAAAAGCGCATACCAGTCTGAATTCATGAATTGGGGAGCCAATGAAATTATTCATGAAAAAGAGCCTCAATATCCTTATTATTCTCTTCCCTTCAATGGAAATTCAAACTATGCCAAAACATTTTGTGGAGGTAGCCCAGATGGAAAATTAGGAAGAGGAGCACCTTTCGGAATGGATACTATCAATGGTAGCCCAAACCAAAAAGATGGCCTCTCTCATCATGGGTATAGCACTGGATATGGTGGAGGATTTGGAACAGGAGGCTCACATACAAATGCTCATATAGCAAGTAGTGCCACTCATCTCAAGCCTTTTATTTGAGCTGAAGAGAATGGATTTGAGACCACTAATCAAAGAAATTTTAAGGATTATAAAATCAGCCATAGACCTCAGACTTGTAAGCCAAAGACTGAAGCTGTCAAAACATGTGGCAATTCAAAGCATTTCAAGACTAGCAACATGTGAGATTATAAGAAGAGAAGGTTCAAACCACCTGCTGTGGACATGATCCCGTACCCTTAAGAAATACTTTGTTACCCAATCTTAAAATTTATTGAAGGGGTTTTGGGGTTTTGGGGTTTTGGGGTTTTGGGGTTTTGGGG